TGTTGGACTTGAGCATTTTCTTCTTCTAAAACTGTATGCTCAGTCTTGGGAGTGATCTGTTTCAAGCCAAAAAATCTGGGCCCAGAGGTGTCCTGCATGTCAAGATGAATCAACCAAGGTCCAGGCACGGAGAGGACCTAGACCCCCTGCTCTGATGCAGCCCCTCGGCAGCTCAGTCTCCATCAGGGGTTCCCTAGTAAAGGGAGCAGAGGCAGTCTCTGGCATGAACTCAGCTGCCTGCTCTTTGATCACCCCCCTCCCCCAACACACACACACAAGGTGACCTTATTAGATCATAGAGAAAGAGGATCTATACAGTCCTGATGAGACCTGATAGGCTAGGGTCAGATAGTAAGGGAGGAAGACCTCCCCTATCAGTGGATTAGGGGAGGGACATAGTAGGAGGAAGAGGGCAGGAGTGACCAGGAGGAGAAGAGGGAGGGGGCTACAGCTTGGATAAAAAAGTGAATAAATTGTAAATAATAATAATAACAAAAAAAGTGATTTGTTTTGTTGCCCAAACTGATCTTAAATAGCTGGGTTTTCTTTCTTTGCTTCTTTCTATGTTTTTTTTTAATTTTTTTTTTATTTATTTTTTATTTTTTTATTTTATTTTTCTGGAGTTCACCCTAAAGGACATTTAATGACTCAGTGTTGAAAGTGTTCCATTTTCAGGCTGATATAAAGCTTTAGAAATAAGAAAAGCAACTCCTACATGTAAAAATTGTTAATTTCTCTGTCTTTGTCTTCTTTTCTTCCTTCTCTCCCTCAATTCTTTAGCAGAGGAAATATCTATTCAATGTTTTGCAATGGATAATAGTCTAGGGAGCACCAAGGATACTGGTGCAGCCTCAAGAAAATCTCCCTGCAATGTCATAAAAATTGTTGCAAACTCTTTTTTTATCTTTATTTTTATATTAACTACAGTTTATTTATCTTGTGGCTCAGCTATAGCCCCTTCCCTCATTCCCTCCCAATCCCACCTTCTCTCTCTTATCTCTTTCCTGCCCCTCTCCAAGTCCACTGATAGGGGAGGTCTTCCTCCCTTTCCATCTGACCCTAGCTTATCAGGTCTCATCAGAACTGGCTGCATTGTCCTCTGTGGCCTAGCAAGGTCCTTCAGAGGGGTGGGGAGGAGGCCAAAGAGCCAGCCACTGAGTTCATGTCAGAGACAGTCCCTGTTCCCCTTACTAGAGTACACACTTGGATACTGAGCTACCATGGGCTAAATCCAAGCAGGGGTTCTAGACTACATCCATACATGGTCCTAGGTTGGAGAAACAGTCTCAGAAAAGACCCCTGTACACAGACATATTTGATCCTTGTGGAGCTGCTGTCCTCTCCAGGTCTTAGTGTCTCCCCTTCTTTTATATGATTGCCTGAACTCTCCCCAAGGTTTGATTATGAGTCTCAGGATCTGCTTTGATACACTGCTAGGTAGAGTCTTTCAGAGGCCCTCTGTGGTAGGCTCCTGTCTTGTTTCTTGTTTTCTCCTACTTCCAATATCTATCCCATTTGTTTTTCTAGGTAAGGATTGATCAACTTACCCTGGGTCCTCTTTCTGGTTTGGCTTCTTTGGGTGTATATTTATCTTATCTTTTAGGTCTAGAATCCACTTATAAGTGAATATGTACTGTGTGTGTGTCTTTCTGCTTCTGGGATACCTCACTCAGAACGATCTCTTTTAGATCCCATCATTTGCCTGCAAATTTCATGATTTCCTTGTTTTTAATTGCTGAGTAGTATTCCATTGTGTAAATATACCACAATTTCTGTATCCATTCCTCCATTGAGGGACATCTGGGTTGTTTCCAGGTTCTGGCTATTATGAATAAAGCTGCTACAAACATGGTTGAACAAATGTCCTTGTTGTCTACTTGAACATATTTTGGATATATGCTTAGGAGTGGTATAGCTGGATCTTGAGGAAGCACTGTTCCTAGTTATCTGAGAAAGTGCCAGATTGATTTCCAAAGTGGTTTTACAAGTTTACATTCCCACCAGCAATGGAGGAGGGCTCCTCTTTCTCCACAACCTCTCCAGCATGTGTTGTCTTAACCTAAGCATAAAGTTATTTTATAAATAATAATATAGATGTCAGAGTATGAAAAACTACTGAGTACAGGGATGGAATTACAACATTGCTGCTCAAGTGAGATTTAAAAAAAAAAATCTTAAATTTGAATAGCTTTTTACTCTCAACTAAAATTTATCCATGCCTTATTTTATAAACTGCAGCTGTGTATATTCTTTAGCTTAGAATTGTACAGAATAAAAGGCCCACATATAAATAGAATACAATTTTATCTTTTGAATTTACTAATTTCTAGTAAACTTAACTTAGTGTTCATTTATTAAATTTATAAAAATATATATGAGGACAAAATACACAAACATATGTTTTTTTTATTATTAACTGAAAAATTATATTGGTTGATAGGTAGAAACTTCCTGCTCATTTTTTTGTTTATTGAGTAAGCATTTTTATTATTGAAATTAAATATATTTGCATATGCCTTTTAAAAATAAGTGATGTCTTTTTTTCTTTAAATTTTTACATGACTTATATCCTTATCGAAATAAAGAAAAAGTGTTATACTGGATGCTTGGTGTCTATGGGATTGTCTAGCATGCCCTATAAACACCTAAATTTCTAATTTCTCAGTTTTGGGTATAAAATGAGGTCATTCTGATAAATCTAATACTTATCCATCTGTATACTTTAATCATCTCTAGTTTACTTCTACATTTTAGACACTGTAAGTGCTATGTAAATAGTGATTCCCAAATCATTTTATAGTTAACAGTGAAAAAAAAAATAAGAGTGTTTAATTCAAATACAATTTTCATCAGAAATTGTTTTACCTGACAATGGTTGAATATTTCTCTAAAACTTTTTAATACAGATAGCCAACTGTATCTAAATAAGTGTTTTATTTACAAGATAATATATATTTCACAGTAAAGTACTTCTAATTCTTTTATAATGTTAGATCAATGATTATAATGTATATAATACATTGTTATAATAGAGACAAATATACAGATCTTTGTCTGAAAGGATTATATTTAGTAAGTCTCCACAACTGTACTCTATTCTGCTTTTATTACATAATCTGAGGTTAATGGATGATATCTGCTAGCTTCATTATGGTTATTATCTTGATACTTTCAGCGCAAACTACAAGTATTGGAAATTAAGATAACTTTAAATTTGCTACATAATTACCACTCAATACATAATACTAAATATAAGGCACACATATACTCTCTGTAAACGTGATAAAATTCCTATGCCAGTGGGAAATGAATGGAAAGGATCTTGCCAAAAGGCAAAAGCTTAGAAATATCCAGGAGACAGAAAAAGTTTGTTCTGCCTAACCACAGTTTTGCTGTTTCTTGGTGTTCAGTCATGACTCACCACCAGCTCAGAAATCAGTGGCCATGCAAAGTACAGGTATGTCTTTAAACATGTGGATATGTGCCTTCTAGCACAAATGATATGCACTTTATCAGAAGAGGAATGTCAGATCAAAAAAGAAATGTACATAAGAACACACAGAACGATCTGTGCAAATTTGTATTCAGAAAGCTAAGGTTATTTATGACACATATATTAATCTTAAAATTAATTTGTAGTAGATTGAAAAAGAAAACTCCCATTTTTGTCTGGCTAAAATTAATTCCAATTATTTAAGGAAAAGTGAAAGTTTCATATACATTGTGCATGTGAATAGGGTATGCATGTGTTGTCTTAACACATGTCTGTGAGTTTTTAAACTTTAACTGAAAATCTCCAAATGAGAGACACAGATAATTTTCCTCACTAAAAATGTTACCCATTTAAGCTTTTTTTTTTTCTATATATTTTATCTCCAATTTCCATTCATCTCCACACAGGAAATAAGGCAACCTTTCGCAGTTTCTGATATAAGTAAAGCAGCACAAATAAAAATAACAGTGATTTGCCAGGATATACTCTATATTTTTTCAAAACATCAACAGCCTGATATAATCATTTTCTCCAATGATGAGGCTTTCCTGTATGTAGAGATTAAAATACTCAGAGGGCAATCAAATCTCTAAAATGCATTCAAATGATTCAAACTGAGACTGCACAAATTCAGACATAAAATATACATCTATCTATCTATCATATATATATATGATATTATATATATATATATGAGAGAGAGATTATGGCAAGCTAAGGCTTCTTTCCATTCTCCTTCCTGCTTTCTTTTCAGTGGGACCAGCTATATCAAACTTCACAGTGCTTGTATTATCTACATCACATCCCCAATATTTTAGAGATTAGAATATATTGACAGATTGCCTCTACTTCAGAGGATTGTGATGTTGTCCTCTGCCAGCTATTAAAATTTATATGAATTAGATTCTGCCCTGCCTCTAGGAATTCAATTAGAGTGATGTGTAAAGATTTTTCAAAGTAGTACATAGAGAGGCTCTCATAAGTTCCCATAAAAGAAAGCTTATCTAAGATGACTTGCAAAAAAGACAGAAGAATTTGGGGGACTGGAAAACAGAGTTCTTCAAACTGTGACACTGAAGTACTTTGCTCTAGACCCACACTGTACAGAATGATTAAAGTATCTCTTTCCTGTACAGGCCACTCCAATGCTTCAGTTTTCCCCTTTATAATCCCTACCCTGCCAACAATGTGAAATTAGTACAACTGGTAGACATTATACATGAAATAATTGCCAATGGACCACTAAACTCACTTAATATAACAAGCAACAGAAACCCTGATTTCTCACGTTATTTTTATTCTCCCTTCAACTCCACCACACATACAACTCTTCCTTAGAAACCAGTAAGGCCAATGCAGTATTAGCAGCAAATCACTACAGTTTTTCCTTTCAAGAAATGAGGTCTGCATTTCTGCATGTTCAATGCACAGTCATACGAATGCCATCATCTCACAAGTAAAATTCGGATCACAGAGAAGAAAGCTAGCAGATGAAGAAATTGCTCACCTGGAGGAGGCGGGTCAACAGACTGAAGTCTAGTAGTGATGGTGTGTAGGGTGAGGATAGCAAAGGAAAGCAAAGTCGGGAATGCTTGAAAAATAAAATATTTTTAGTTAACAAATAGAAAGACCAAGAGGGACAAAAAGGGCCAACTGAATCATGAATCCTTCCTTATCAATTTGATTTTTTTAAATTAAATTTCAGACAATAATCAATTCCTAAAAGCAACGGTCATTGACAATTCCTCAGTTACATCAGACGTAGTCTTTCCATGAAAAATTACTTTAAAGGAGATTTTCATTTCAATGAGATGGAAACAGTTCAAAGTAACTGCCAGTAACTCCAAGTCAATGGAAAACTTTGTCAGTATGATGATATGTCCATTTACTTAGATAAAAATTTTCTACTAGAGTGAATAGAAGCTGTAAATCAGCAAATAACCAAAATTAAAGTCCAAAACTCTTCTGCAACACACCCAGAGATCAAGACTTATTCAAAATGTTCTCTGCATATTAAATATTAGTCACATAATGTAGGTTGTCTGAAGTCCAAACAATGTTATGTATAATTTATCTATTTAGAGGTCAATTAATATTTAAGAGTGTATTTACTCTAGTAATGGTTATCTATCCATATATCAATCTGTATTTTCACATATATAAAATATATTTATGTATAGTATCAACTATATATTTTCAGTTTGCAATGAATATCTTTTTTAGCCAAAATATATATTATAATACTATATAATACTTATGTTAAATTATATATGTATAAATTTTGAATGTAACTTTAAGTGTGAAAACAGTAACAATACAAATTTTGGGAAATACAGCAGGTTTTCTCTTTGTGTGTATATATATATATATATATATATATATATATATATATATATATATATTGCTTTTTATTTTATGAGCCTCTGACTTAGGTATATCATAGGCATGTATAATTGATCTAGTTCCTAGAATAAAGAAAAAAAGAAAGAGCATTTTGTTTTGCATTTGTATTACTGAAATATGCAATGAATATGAGGAATCAATTGCTGCCTAGAAGTCCTGCCAGAAACAAAAAATGTCTGCTGGTAAGCAAAGGTAACCTTATATTTAAAGCAATCTCATTTTCTTAGCTTCATGAGGAACTTCACATCTGTTGCTGTCCCTCCCTTGGTATGAGAATAAGCAGACTCTTAAGTTAAAGAGTAGAGTAGTTGTTAAGAACTCAAACATTTTGTCACTGTTGCCCAATAAATATTTCGTTCTTCTCCTCTACCCCCTGCCAATTTCCTGTGTAATTTGTGTGTTTTTCTTCTACTCTTAAAGCATAGCTCCAACAACAGATGGAACTTCTGAAAAGGTCTGCCTCAATCACAGGTATAAATGTGACATTCATCATAGTACATGAAAAATAGAATGTAAAGAATACAGATGATATCAAATTATTTTAATCATACTAGTCACCTTAAAATTCTGAAAGGGCATTAGAATTAGTTCTTATCAGAAACATAGAAGGAAATGTGTATAGTCTGTGACATTCATTAATTTCAATTGTTTTTAGACACAGTATCATTTCTGTGTATGATTCAGTTTCCTTGTGTTTTAATCCTATGGGCCAATAAATGAACCTGTGTTCTAACTGATACATTTTAGACAGAGCCAAAGAACTGGATAGTTTTACGATATCATAGGTAGAGCCACATAAAGTATAGACCAACTTCAATTAGCAAAATTCAGTGAGTTTACAGCTGCACCCTGAGTTCAAAGCATGTCCTCCAAATTCATTTGCATCCTGTACTAGAACATAGAAACTTATTTAGAAATTGTATCTTTGTGGATGAAATTCTTTAAGATGAAGTCATACTGGATACAAAGATTATTGTGAGAAGACAAAGCAGGGCCATAGAGACAAGCAGGGAAATTTCAATGGAACGTAGGTGGCAGACAATAGAAGTGGATCTGGGACTGCTGATAACCACCAGAAACTAGGATGAAAGAAGGAAGAGTGCCTAAAAGATGATGGCCCAACTAGTGCATTGATTTTGTAGATATAGTCTCTGTTGTGTCTGTGAGATCTTCAGCTATCTAGCATAAGTACTCTGCTACAGCAACACTTGTAAATTAATACTGTCTATCAAAAAATAAAATAAAACAAAAAAACCCAATACAATAAAGCCATAAAATAAACAAAGAAAAATATTTATTGAGAAAGAAATGGGACAATTAGGTATAAATAAAAAATTAGGTGCTGCAAAGTTAAAACATGACAAGTTAAAAGTAAGTTTAATTTTTCCCCATGTAATGATTCCTAAATCCTTTGGCTGAAGAGTTAAGAATACATGCTGCTAAAAACTGATGACACTGATTACAAGATCTGAGAGCATATAGAGAATTAATCATTTTTCTTCAGAAATCACACAAAACACCTTGAATTAGAAATAGTGTCAAACTTAAGATTATTCTTTGAATTTATGACAGTGAACAAATAACATGACTCCATGAAAAAATATTTTTCTATATTTTCATCTCTTTTGGGAAAATGATATAGGTTCTGATGTTCTCTTAAGGACTCACAGCTCCCTGTCAGCCACTTGATTATAGGGAAAAATCTATGCTAACAGGTGACACATGCTGTATGCACAGATGAACAGTAGGTCAGGTGAATTAAGATAATGTTCACATAAAATTTCCAACTTTAGAATGGACTCAGCAGGCACAAATCCAGAGAAAATAAAGGAGGCTCTGCAAGATACTTTCTTAAAATGTCTACAAATTATTAGCTGTTTTGGTTGTTTTCTAAGGCTGCTGAAGATTTTCTTTTTTCTGATATTGTTTGAAATCTCTTAACAGTACAGCACATTTTTAGTTCCACAAGAAGGGGCAACTTTACTTAAGGTCTTCTTTGTTCTTTGTCATTAAACAAAATTTTACCTAAAGGTATTTGCGCACCTATGTGCGGGTATTTTTATTCACAACCACCACAACTAAAACATGTATCTAAGGATTTATACAATTTATTTCAGTGATATTCTTTCTAGTCCCAAACTCCTCCCAGGTCCTGCCCTTCTACACACCAAACATCAGAATCTTGCTCTTTCTCTCTCTCTCTCTCTCTCTCTCTCTCTCTCTCTCTCTCTCTCTCAGATGAAAATCTCTTTACTTATCATAATAGCATGTTCAATGAAGAATTGAAAAATATAAGAAAAATTAAAAGTAGGATGATAAAGTTGGTGCTGAAATATTTAGATATTGTCCATATCTTAAGTACGTGGGGTCAACTGACAGTAATTTTAACCTAACCTCCAGATTTATTTTTGCCTTGTAACTAAATCATGGGATTAGTATCCCCATCAAATCAGGTAAAACAATTATATAAAGCATGGTACTGACATTTTTAAATATTTGCCTGCCACATGACTTCTTGGATGAGTAAGAATTATCAGATTTTTAAAATTAATTTATTTTTTATTAATTACAATTTATTCACTTTTTAGCCCAGCTATAGGCCCCTGCCTCACCACCTCCCAAACCCATCCTCCCTTTCTATTCTCCTCCTATGCCCCTCCCCCAGTCCACTGATAGGGGCATTCCTCCTCCCCTTCCAGCTGATGCTAGCTTATCCAGTCTCATCAGGAGTGGCATCTTTGTCCTCCTCTGTGGCCTGGCAAAGCTGCTCCCTCTCAGTGGGAGGTGATCAAAGAGCCAGCCACTGAGTTCATGTCAGAGACAGTTGCTGTTCCCCTTACTAGGAAACCCACTTCACTATAATATAAATGTTTTTACAGCTTACTTAGCATATTGGTACATATGTACTTTTACTTATATATTTATATGTATGATGTTCTCTCTTAAAAAAATAAACAGAAACATACAGGGAAAGAATCCTCTTAAAAAAGAAAAAAAAAAAACACATGGATTTCATTTTGTATTGACTAACTTTTCCTGGCCTGGAATGTGATGAATACACAGTCTCATCCCACTAGAAATTGTTGGTTTCCACCTCCAAGCATCTATTACTTGGAAATAGCTTCTGGGCTAGACGTGATTCTTTGTCCATGCTGTATTTTTGTCTGGCTTGACCCTGTACATTCTCGATGAGTTTAGATGTGTTTCTACACTGTTTTTTTTTTTTTTTCTGGAAAATACAGTTTTCTTAAATTGATCCAATAACTGTATATTACATAAGCCAATGTATTATCTAGACTATTTCTTTTTGACTATATAGCTAAATACACTACCATATACACTGTACTTTAATAGATTCTGCAATAAGAGAGAACATAAAATGTCCAAAAAGAAAGTTTTTAAACACAGCAATATTATAGGAAAGCTGGAGGGGGATTTGTAAGGTTGGCATTGCCAAATGTGGGAAGGGGGATAAAAGAGGGTGTGAATGACTATAACCATAATACATTACATACATGTATGAGTCTGTCAATGAATGGATTTAACTTCTAAAATTTGAGTTAAATCTTTTCAGTGAGTTGTACACTGCAATAAAATACGTCATTTTATCACTAATTTACATACAGTATTCACATGCCGTAGTAACTGCAAAGCCTGAGAAGCAATTATCTATCAAGTTATATAATACTCCTTAATAAGGTTATTGAACCCAGTGGTGTTTGAAATGTAATAATATTATTTAAATATTTACTTATTTGTGCATTTATTATTTTAATTGCATGCTATGTGCACGTGTAAACTTTTGTTCACAATGAGCACAAAGGAGCTTGTAGAAGCCAGAATAAGATAACAGAACTCCTGGTATTGTAGTTACAGGCAGTTATAAGGCACCATTTGGGCGCTTGGAACCGAAACTTGGTCTTCCGCAAGAGCAGTAAGCTCTCTTAACTGCTAACCAATCTCTAATGTCCCAAAATAGTATTTAATACATGGATGCAATAAAATATGACTTTGTGTTTATTGCTACTCTTCACAATAGGATGTTTCTGTCACATGATAGCGGCTTCTTTATGTGATTACTCAAATCCCACTTTATCAGAGAATATAAAGTTACCTCTGCAGCTTCATTTCAAATGATGTTTTTTGAGAACTCTGCCCATATATTTGTTTTAGTAGTTTGTGAATAGG